AGTCTGTACTTTGCCTGCCAGTTTAGGCTTAGGCATGCTAGCAGAGACCATTAGCTTCCCGCTCTCGTCATAAAGCTTCTTTCCGCTTCTTATGGTCGGAAAATCGCGTATCGGCATTTTAAATCGTGGGCAAGCTAGCAGAGACCATTTTCCACTTTGGAGTCTGTACTTTGCCTGCCAGTTTAGGCTTAGGCATGCTAGCAGAGACCATTAGCCCGCCACTCTCGTCATAAAGCTTCTTTCCTTGTCTCGTGGTCCCCGAATTGGCGCCTTGTTGCCGGCGCCTCGGCTCGTATCTTCAGAATTTGAGCAGCCAAATTGGGGGCGAGAGAGTGGAGAGACCGGATAGAGGCGAGAGAAACAGAGTGAAATTGGCTGATATGAACCAATCGCCCCTCAACGGTCCCCAGCAAACAGCCAAAACCTTTATCGATCGGAACACCGGATTTTGGAAGGCGATTTTTGAGGTTAGTCAATCTCTAAGCGTCTCTGCTAGCTTACCATTGGCTAAACTGACACCCTGACTCCAGAATTCAACTTTTATTTTGAGACTACAAACTATGAATCGCCCACCAGGCTAAGGACCCGGGTTCGACCCCCGCCCGGGGCCGGCTTTTTGCTTTTTGAATATTGAAGTGATTTTTTGTTTGGAAACTGTAAACTGCCGGCCAGCCTACGGACGACAATCCTTACAACAAGACTAGAAACTACAGAAAAGTCAGTAGGCTAACCACCACCCGGTTCGACCCCCGCCCGGGGCTAACTCTTTGCTTTTTGGATTTTGAAGTGATTTTTCGTTCGGAAACTATAAACTGTTAGCCAGACGGCACCAGCCCAAATGGTCTCTGCTAGCCTGCCGTTAAAATGATATTATCGACGGGAAGTGTGCGCGAAACGAATTAGCCGCATCCAATGCGGCGGATCCCTAAAAAAATTCTGAAACATGAAAACCGAAAAATCATCTATGAAGGGTTCTTCTCGCGGATTTTGTCCTAAAGGCTCTCTGCTAGCTTGCCCTTAACAAAAATAACGATTTCCTGAAGAATCAGTGCTAGTTGGCCTCGAAATACGGAAACTTCATGACGATACACGTGGCTACATAGAATTCTCCGATTTTGACCAATCGATACCTCTGACAATTTGGAAACATAGTTTTTTTTAATTTTTTGGTTAGATTTTATAAGACAAATGGCCTCTGCTAGCCTGCCCCAGAGAGAAAATCCTCCTTTTCCTAAAGAATCCCTGCTAGCCGACCCGGGCAATTTTAGAAAAACTGCGACAATAGGTGCTTTATTATTGAATTCCGACCAATTCCTGCTAATAAATTTTTTGAAACATTGCAAATTTTTGCTCAGTTTTTCGATGGCGCCTTTTCTAAGTTACTAGCCGCAAATGGTCTCTGCTAGGCTGCCCTAAAAATAATATTACTTATCGAAAATGCGTCGAATTAAGCGTGTCCATTTCCGCGGATCCCTAAAAATTGGGAAAGGCGGAAATCGAAATTTGTCTTGAATGGTCTCCGCTAGCTTACCTCGACCAGAAAATCGACGATTTCCTCAAGAATCACTGCTAGCTGCCCTAGAAATTCCAGCAATTTTCGTGGTGCCAAACAGCAAGCCATTATCGAGTTCCGACCAATTGCCTCCCCCTAAAAGCCTTGAAACACGCATTTTTGTAAAATTTCGACGTTTAATACGCGTCGTGTAAAATTTCTCAGACTTGGTCTTATTACCACGTTAAAAATGTTCAGAATCTTTTAAAACCTTGAAACATTTATTTTTTACAGAATCAACAATTTTTGCACCGGAATGGCTGCCTCTAGCCTATCTAGCGCAAAATGTGGCAAATCCAGAAAAATTCAGCTACTTTTTTCGAATTTCGCAAATGGTTTCTGCTAGCCTGCCCAGCCCTGTTTTGAAGGATTTGCCGAGTTATTTGCGTAAAGAATCACTGCTAGCTTGCCAAGTAAGAACAATAAGAGAGCCGGCAGATATCGCTTCCAATAAGCCCCAACAATTCACACGGCTCTCTTGAAAATTGCGAAACATCAGAATCGGAAAAACGAATTTTGTGGGTTTTTCTTGCGGCTGTTGTCTTGAATGGTCTCTGCTAGCTGCGTCAGGGAATCAACATTTCCCGAAGAAACACGGCTAGTTGACGTAGAATTCCGAATAACAGTCGGTTCAACAGCATATATCATTACCGAATTCCGCCCAATTCCCTCAACCTAAAAGCCGTGAAACACGAATTTTTATAAAATTTGAGATACGGTACTTCCAAAGTAAATGGTCTCTGAAAATTAAAATGGTAAATGGTAACTTTTGAAACGTGATTTCTCCGGTGATCTCTGCTGGCTTGCCAATTTCAAAGATTCTCAAAGAGCTTTTGCTAGCCTGCCCCGAAATTTCCTAAAGAATCTCTGCTAGCTGGCCGGAAAAAATTTGGGATTCTCCTAAAGAGGAACGAGAAATTCGCAAATCCCACCCGATCGATAGCGCCAAAAATTCTGAAGCATGATTTCTCATATGACCTCTGCTAGCCTTCCCCAGGCCAGGAAAAGCGCAAATTTCCTAAAGAATCTCTGCTAGCCCGCCCGGCCATAAATCCGCCAAAATTCTCCGATTAACGCTGCTAGAACCGGCACCCCGTCGCCCATTAAATTCTCAAAAGCTCGCTGCAAATCTACTTTGCCTGAAACATCAAAATTCCTAAATAATCGCTGCTGGCTTGCCCTTGTCTTTTTCTCAAACAATCACTGCTCGTTTTATTTAATAAAATATCTTGGAAATAGCCGATTTCCCAAATGGTCTTCGCTGGCTTGCCATGATCAAAAATTCATAAAAAATCCTTGTTAGCTTGCCCCACCCAAAGTCCAAAACTTCCCTAAAGAATCACTGCTAGCCGGCCGGGGAAAATGGGCGATTTTTATCGACCTGGTTGAATACAACATTCTCGTTTCCCGGCCAATCCCCACTCATAAAAATGCTGAAACACTATTTCTCAAAAAACTTCTGCAAGTTGCCAATTTAAAATTTTAATTCTTCCTGTTTTCTCAAAAAAATTCTCTCTTTATGCGAATTTCTAAAAATTCTAAAATTCTTTTTTTTTGTAATTTTTTGAGGGAGCTAAACCTCGTGAAATCCTGAAACTTCATTGCTCAAATAATCTCTGCCAGCCTGCCCCGATCTATATTTGCCTTCCAGGTGCATTTAAAACGACGCGGAGCCCTTGGAAAGACCGAGAAATTTTCTGAAATTTTTGCCGGCCACCCAGACGACAAGAAGTGGCGGCTAATATCGATTTTTGGAGCCCCTGACACCGAAAATAGGTAATTTTAATAAATAATAAAATCTGGAGAATTTTGAATTTCCGCAAATGGCCTCTGCTACGTTGCCTGACAGTTTGCAGAAATTCTAATTTTTTTCATGGATGAATTTCATGGACAATGCACGTTCTCGATTACTCTTTTCGCAAAACATGTACTCTAACGAAATGATAAAACACGTTTCCGTAAGAATCAGGAATTTCGGCGATTTCCTCAAATGGCCTCTGCTAGGCTGTCTGGCGGATGACCGAGGCAGCTAAAAATAAAAAAAAGGTTAGCAGAGAAAATTTAAAAATGGTTGGTTTTCAACACAAAGCGGTGCTAGATTGCCGAGCACGGCAATCGCGCCAGCTTGCATAAATTTGAAACATTTAGTCAAAAAATTGAGGCTAAATCGGATTTTGTAAAGTTTTGGCTTTCCACAAATGGCTTCTGCTAGCCCGTTTGCCAATTTGATACCCAAGAAAAATGAGGTAGGCTAGCAGAAACCAACGAGGAATTATCAGTTTTTTGCGGGAGAGATGGTTTCATTGCAAATCTTCATAGCGTGCGCACCCTAAAAAAAGTTTGAAACATTTTTGAGAATTTTTATTTTTCGAAAACTTTCAGTTTTCTTCGAATAACCGGTTTTTTATTTAATTAAAGCACTTTTTAGCATTTTTATTCACCCAGATAGCCTCTGCTAGCCTGTCTGGCAGATACCAGAAATAAGGAGGGTAAGCAACCATAAACTGGTTACGATTGTGAATTTTTGATTTTTAGGGTTTTTGGTTTTGATTTGAAACATCGATTAGTTTTATTTAAATGAAGCTAAATTTAACTATCCGCCAAGGACCCCTCCTAGCCTGCCTGGCACACAAAAGAACTAGTGATGGCAAACTAGCAGTAACCCTCGACGAAAAATCGCAAAATTTTGCGTAGTAGTGCCAAACCAAGCCTAAGCCTATCGATATGGCCGATTTCCATGGTCGACCTCTGTTAGCCTAAGCCTAAGCCTACGTCTAAGCCTAAGCCTAAGCCTAAGCCTAAGCCTAAGCCTAAGCCTAAGCCTAAGCCTAAGCCTAGCCAAGCCTAAGCCTAAGCCTAAGACCATGCCTACGTCTAAGCCTTTTTTCTTTCTCTTTCTTTTCTCTTTTCTCTTTTTATTTTTGAGAAACATCTCCTTTTATTGAACTTTTTTCGATGCAAAAAGGCTAACTGCCATCCAGACCACCCATTTTCCCCCAAAAATCCCCGCTAGCCTGCCCCCATCAAATTTTCCGGGGGTCCGCAGGTGACCCGTGTTCCCCCGCCTCAACCCCTTCAAAACCCCGAAATTTTTTGAGGTTGACACCCGATACCGTCAAGAGCGGTGGACAGACAGACGCATCGGCTGACAGACAGACACATCCCCCGGCGTCAGCTGTCGCGAAACGGAAAGGCCTTTCCGAAAATCTCAAAAACTCTCAAAATCTCTGCATTTCTAGGCTTCATCGTGGCGGCCCCCGAGCGGCCCGCCTCCCACGGGCTACGCGACACTCCACACAACGCCCCGGCCACCAACACACTAATGGCTCGACCACGACGACACGATCGATCGATGATTCACGACCACGACGACGACGACCACTACGAACTACAAAACGACCGACACGACGACCACGACCACCCCGACCGAACGAATTTTGCCCGCCAGATGACGAGACACGCCAATTTGCGCGTGGTTAGAGGTACGGCAGGCGGAACTGGGTACCGGTTTATCGATTTACATCGAAAAATTGACGAAAATTCTAAAAAGCAAAAAGTTAGCACCGGGCGGGGGTCGAACCCGGACCCTCAGCTTGGCGTCATTTTAGCTATCAGACTACGAGACACGCCAATTTCCGCGTGGTTAGAGGTACGGTAGGCGGAATTGGCAGGCAAATTATCGATTGGCTTCAAAAAACCGGTCTAAAATTCAAAAAGCAAAAAGTTCGGCGCTCCCGGGGGTCGAACCCGGGTAGTGAAACTGAGTGTCTTTTGTAGTCTTTAGCTTCCAAGCCATGGCCATAGTTTGTAGTCTGGGTGTCAGTTTAGGGTTTCGCATCGAGAAATCCAGAAAAAAATAAAAAATCAAAAAGTTGGCCGCTGCCTGGGGTCGAACCCCGGACCTCTTACCTGGTCGCATTTTCATGGTCTGTGGCCTGGATTTCGAATTTGTAGTTTGTAGCCTGGCGAGCAGAAAACCAATCAAAACAGTTTTACACTACTACAAAATTCAATCCGTACTTTCCAGCCCTGCTGCAGCTCTCCATTTTCTGCCTGATGCTGACGACAGCATTGGCACACAGCCAAGAGGAGCCCGATGTGCACAGGTCTGTTTTGTGGTTTCCACCAGGTAGTCTGGATGTCAGTTTAGCAATTCCAAAGAGAATTGGACCTCTAGCTCAAATTTTGAAAATCCCAAAAATCGCGGAATTTCGATTTTTCCCATTTTCCACCTCATTCCTATTGACATTTGGGGGTACTGTAGATGATTTTTATGATCTATTCAAAAGAGGAGAATCACTTCTATCACATCCCTACACTATCATCTACCCTAGCCCTATATATAGCCATTTAAGGGGGTCAGAACAAGGGAAAAATCGCGTTCTTGAAGATATCAGTTTTTGATCCAAATTTTTCGGCACGTTTTGCCTTCCCTGTCCCCTTAACCCTTAAAAGTAATTTGCCTTTAGTTTGGCCAAGCGCCAAGCATTCCTGCTGCCCTACCGTAACCTGGGGGTCGAGACGAATTTGGTGCCGCAGGACGAGAAAATGGATGATGGAGACGAGGATGAGGCCGAGAATCCGGAACCCCCGGAAATACTGCCGGACCCGGATCCGGATGAGGGTAGGACTATTGGAATACTTTATCTGGCTAGTAAGCTACAGCTTAAACCTATATAACCAAAAAAATTAAAAAATTAAATTTATCGATTTTTGGCTACAGTAAGCCAGCACAATTTCGTATTTGTCATTTTTGAGAAATTTTTGCTGCTTGGAGTTTGTAGCCTGTGTGCCAGTTAGCCGAAATATCTATGGAAATCCACGGAAAATTACAGTATACCTAGCAAAATGCAAATATTGTGGTCAAGTTGGAGGGTTACTGTAGCCCAAGCTCAAAACCTGTTTTTGTCATTTTTAGATATTTTTTGATTGTATTTTGTAGCCTGAAGGTCAATTAGCAGAATTAAAATAAAATTTGTGAAATGCAAAATATTAAATTTGATAAAAATAAACTAATCTAAAAATGAAAATTCAAGGAAGTATTTTTCGTTTTTTATCCAATTATTTTTTTCATGTACCAGCTTTATCCATTTTTTTACAGAAAACCCCGAGCCCAAGGCCGTGGCGCCGGCACGCGACGCGCGCGACTTGGTGGAGGTGGACTCGGTGCGGACGGGCGACGGACAACGGATCGATATTGCACTCACCCATCGGTAGGGGGGAGTTCCGCAAATGGTCTCTGCTAGCCCGCTTTATTGGCTAAACTGGCATGCAGACAACAAAGTGCAGCTCTTAGATTGAGACTACAGACTACAGCATAGCTAGAAATCTACCGACCCGGGTTCGAATCCCCGCCGGGGACTAACTTTTTGCTTTTTGAAATTTTGACCGAAATTTTTTGTGGAATCACTGAACTGGCATCCAGAGTACAAACTACAACCCTTACTCCGAGGCTGCAGACTACAAAAAGCTAAAAAGCGAACGACCCGGGTTCGACTCCTGGATGCGGCAAACTTTTTCCTTTTTGAATTTGGGGCCTAGATCTTTACGGGAATCACTAATCTGCCATTTTCCCAAATCCCATTCCCCAATGCTCTCTGCTAGCCTGTCCTGCTTTCAGGATAAAGCCCTCCTCCCCGGAATCCGGCGAAGTGGAGGTGGCCCGGAATGGCCATTACGAGTATAGCATCGGCAACTCCAGCGAGTTCAAGGAGGTCGCCAAACAGGGTACGATAGTTTATACTGGCTGATTTTGACTTCAAGTGGCCTTTAGAAAACCGTTGGCAAAAAAAATTTCATTGCTTGTGCAAAAAAATGTTTTTCGATATTGGATAGTTCGAACAGAAAATGGTCAGTAGTTCCTCTGGCCTGTCACTTCAGTTCCCTACAATCTCGCTTCGTTATCGGGTGTAAAAATCTTGTCAACAAATGTCAGTATTACGATCACAGATGATATTTGGGCTTCCAATCTTAATTCTAAGTAAACTGCCATCTTTATGATTTAAAAAGTTTACAAGATACATAACGGGTGTTTTTGGCGTATTGATTCTTTAACCCAAAACCCCAATTTTTTTAAAATAGAAATTTTTTTTTACTAAATTGTATAGTTCTAGCAAAAAGCGCAATTCAATTTCGTTTATTATTAGAGCATAAAATGCCAACTTAAAACTTATCTATGCTGACTGTTTTTGTCTTGAATGTTCCTTTAAAAGCGCAGTTTTTTTTCAATTTTTGGTAAAGATGTTTCTGAAAACTGCCTATTTCGGTCGCCAATAGAACGGAGTAATCGGTTGCTTTGGTAGAGTTCCAATCAAATTTTATTTCAAGTTCAATTTTTAACGTAGTAAAAAATTATAATGCGCCAGGTACGGTAGTTTATGTTGCCTGATTTTGCTTCAAGGGACCTTTAAAAAATCCACAAACAATTTTTTGGTTCGATTTTTTTAAATTGAAAGTTGGCATAGTTCAATTCGAAATTTCACCTGCCAATCTCAATTCGCATGAAATTACCATTTTTAGGATTTAAAAAGGCTGCTTACAAGATACGGTAGTTTTTATCGCGTGTTTTTGACCTAATGAACCGTTAAAATCTGTATCCCAATTTTTGTTATTTTGCTAAAAAATGTTTCGCCGAATTGCCTATGTCGTGTAGAAAATAACTGTGTAATGTGCTTCGGCGAAAGATGGACAAAAATCGAAATTAGACAACCTGTAACCTAATTTAAGTAAAAAAATTGCGATTTTTAGCATCGAAAAAGGCTGCTTACAAGATACGGTAGTTTATATCGCTTGTTTTAAATGATAGTGACTTAATGAACCGCTAAAATGTGGATTTGGGATTTTTGTAGCTTTGGGTAAAAAATGTTTTGCTAAACTGCCTAGTGGGGGTTCGAAAAATTTGGGTAATGGTAGCATCATTCCAAAATAAATCATTGTCCCCATGATATTGTAAAAAATCGGCGATTTAATGTAATAAAAAAATTCTAGAGTTGAAAGATGTCGTGTTCCAGAATACGGTATTTTATTGGATGATTTTGGTTTCGATGAACCTTTAAAACCTGAAGCACAATTTTTGCAATTTTCAAAAAGCGTATTTCTAAAAATTCCCTAGTTAGGTGCCAAAGGAAATTGTGTAATCGAGCATTTCCCAGGTAATTAATACAAAACGCTGGGAATTAAATCATCTAAAATTACCCATTTCCCAGGTAATACAAATTAATACAAAAATATGGCAATTAAATCGACTAAAATATCAATTTGGAATCTGAAATTTAAAATGCCAAAATGTTAAAATCGATGTTTCAAAAAATTGTTTAGTTTGGCGGGAAAAACATTGCGCAATATACCCTCGGCCATATATCTTTTTGTCCGGTTTTAGGTTGATAAAAGAGGGGAGACCTGGCTATGGCTGCCGATAATATTATTTTATATTAGGTGCTTTAGGCCTTAATAAGGTTGTAAAGTCGATTCCCGAAGATTTTCGATTTTTGTGAAAAAAGGTTTCGGAAAATTGGCCAATTGGGTTTCAAAAACATTGTCTAATCAATTTATGGCCGATTTGAGGACTTAATAAATTTTTAGCGTCATAAAAATGGCATCTGGCGGATACGGTAGTTTATATCGGGTGTTTTTGACTTCTCTAGGCCTTGAAAGTTTAAATTGTCCAAAAAATATTCAATTTGCTGAAGGGGTGTTTCGAAAAATTGTCTAGTTTAGTGCCAAAAAAGTGTTTAATAAAATCATATCTTCAAGCCTAATTCAATTATTATTCAATTCAAATTCATTTTCATGTTCAGCATTCCACAGCCTTCGGCCGGACGGGCGCCAACCTCTCCCCCCAGCCGGCCCAGCCGCCCCAGCCCCCGAGGAACCATCTAAGAAACCGCCAAATCCACGTTTAACTCCCGAGGCCATAAAGGTACTCGATTCAAAATTTTTTTAGTTTGTAGTCTGCCTGCCAGGTTGGTCAACCCAATCGAAAAAATCAGCCAAAAATTCAAAAAGCAAAAAGTTAGCCGCGGCCAGGCCTCGAACCCGGGTCGTTCGCCTCGTTGGTTTTTTGTAGCTTGTAGCCTCGAGGTAAATTTTGTACTTTGTAGTCTGGCTGTCAGCTTAGCGATCCCAAGGAAAAAATCAACTAAAAACCCACAAAGCAAAAAGCTTCGCCGCGGCCGGGATTCGAACACGGGCCATTTGCCTGGTAATTTTTTGTAGTTTGTAGCCTTGATGTAAATCTTGTAGTTTGTAGTCTGACTGCCAGCTTAACCATCCAAATCAAAAAATCAATAGAAAATCGATAAAGCAAAAAGTTTTCCCCCAGCGGGATTCGAACCCGGGTAGTTCGCTTAGTAATTTTTTGTAGTTTGTAGCCTTGATCTAAAACTTGGAGTTTGTAGTCTGGCAACCAATCTAGCGGCTCTAATAAAAATCAGAGTAAAATCAGGAAAATTCAAAAAGTTCGAGCAGTTTTCGAACTTTCAGAATCTCCCTTCCGAGCAGCGCGTGAAGGCCGTCTACCGCGGCGCCAAGAACAAGAAGAAAAGTGGGTTTAATCTATTTTAGATAGTAACTAAAAGTCTGTTATTCATTTAACAGATTTAATCGATTATTTACTAAATTACATTTTTGCCTTCAATGGCCCTTTAAAAGGGAAAACCATTTTTGGAGGACGTTTCGCGTTTGGAATTAATTGCTCCAGAACTTGGCGCTGCAATTATTTTCGTGAAACACATTTTTCGCCAGATATAGAACTGTTAAAAGCTTTTTTATCAAAAAAAAATTTAGAATTAGCCTTTTTTCTAAAGGCAAAAATCGATAGGGATAAGGCTAATCGTCCAATTGCCAATGCCAGTCCGCTAGGGTTTAGGACATTTTCCCAAACACATAATCCGGAGAAAAGTCTGAAACTTGTGTTATTTTTCTCAATTTAGAATGTTTTTTGATGCTTATTCGGCTGCTACAGCTATTATCTGCACCTGACGCATATGCTACTATGGAAATTCATTTTCCAAGATTTTTAAAATTTTCTAAAACATCTATTTCACTAACTTTTTTCGATGAAACATGTTATTTTTAATTCTGATTTTTTTGCAATCCAGAATTTTTTGCAATTCTCATTGTCTGCCGGATTACGGAAATGCATTTTTGAAGCTTCATACGAATTTTTGAAACATTGCAGTTTCATAAAAAGTGAATTTTCGCTTTTCCTCAGTTTCGAAATTCCTTAAAGTAAAGCAAATGTTTTTCCATATTTGTTTTTTTTTTGTCTCCCTCCCCTGAAAAGGCAGAGAAATCGATAAGCCAAAAATGCACCGATCATATTATGGAAACTAATTTTCGCGGCGGTTTAAAATTTTTCGAAACATTTTTTTTGGGTAAAAATTGAGCTTTACAACCAAAACGAAAACCTGATTGAACATCTCGTAATATTTTGGGCAGCCCGCATTTCTTCACTTTTTTCGGTGTAACAAATTTTTGTTATTTGACTCTCGTTTTTTTGGCGGCTATTGTACCCGAGTCAGGCAACGTGCGAATTATGCGAATTCATTTTCCTCTTTTTAAAATTTCCTGAAACTTTAAATTTTTAAAAATTTTCGTATGCGTGCAGAAATGGCTTGAGATAGAATATTTTAATACTTTATATACAAAAATAACAACATAAAATAGTTTTCTTTGCCTTTTTTAGCTGCCACGCCCCCTTTAAGATGCTAAAAAAAATCGATAACTCAACCGGGGTCAGTTTTGAAATCCTGTGGGGTTCAGCGGGCCGGGGGAGAAATCTGATCCTCTCCGACGGCATATCTTTTACATTTCTCTCTCTCCCGCTCTCTCTCTCTCTCTCCCTTTCTTCGCTCTCTCTCTCTCTCTCTCTCTCTCCCGCTCTGGTCGAACACTCATTTTTTTTGCCAAAAGACATTCGATCCGAACAAGGTTTACAAGGGTCGTAGAAAGATTGGGGACCATCGCATTTTCCGCAAATGGTATCTGCTAGTTGGCTAAGAGGTTAAACTGCCGCCCAGTTAATATATTTCCTAAAGGATCTCTGCTAGCCTGCCACGCACTTTCCAAAACGGTGCAATCCAAAATGAACGTTTCACAAAAATTGATTGTTCGCACTTTTTGGCAAAATATAGTGTCACTTCATTGAAGCTCAATCAGCTAACAAAAAAATTTTGCGAGCCGATTCCGCAAATCTCCTCTGCTACCTTGCCCAT